AAAGGCTGAGCACATATCATCACGGAACCAGTTACGAAACGAGTTCATACCACACAGACGTGAAGTTCTATCTCTTGAAACATGGCACAGTTTGTGTATTTTACTGCTTTGTTGGTGTTGTGTGGGACAGGGGACTCACTGGAAACCACTACCAGCCCTCAACAACAAAATACTGGCGATACCAAGGACTTATGTGAGGTACAAAGTTGAATTTAAATTGCCTCTTTTAAGGAAAATCAATCAGTTGTATATGAGATGTAAAGATATTTTGAACGATTTACAGTATTTCTCATTGGTGGCAGTTCAGTTTCTGATTGAAACATAAAAGGCATATGTCCGTCTGGTCTCAAATCGAGGCTGATTGCTAAAATAAAAAGTTAGAGAAAGCGATATAAGAATTTTTTGCTTCCTAAGTCATAGTAAATCCTCTCAAGGAATGTTAATGATGTCCATGTCGCTCCCAGTAAGAGTCGGCTTCACAAACAAACAAACATTGTTATGCAAGAATTAGAGGAACATATTTTACCCGATTGAGAGAGGTGCAGGGTGACACTCAATATGTCTGATGTAAATTAAGGGGATTTGTTCTTGTCAAAGCAGACCTACAAAGCCACGATTCAAATGAAAGACACGCTGACACTGAAATAACAAGTGACTGATACCGCTGAAGCAGTAAAAGACAAAAATGCAGATTGGTTTTCATGCTGCAATTTACATGGACATATATAAAAAACATTTTGTTCTCGTGTTGTTCAAGTTTATATTCTGCTCTAAAGGGGTTTTTTGAACAAGAACAGTGCATGTTTTGCTTCCTTCTTAGAAATAACTCATAGACAATTCTTTAAAGAAATGTCCATGTTGCCCCCAGTAAGAGGTGGCTTCACAAACGAACAAACATCATGTTTATGTAAGAATTAGAGGAACATATTTGACCTGATTAAGAAATAGATATCAAGAAGGTGACAATTGTCTCAAAATTGATCATGACAGGGTTTTTTTCTTGTCAAAGCAGGCCCACAAGGTCACAGGTCTAATGACAGACCCGCTGACATTACAATATTGTTAAAACAAGTCACTGATATCGCTAAAGCAGCAAGAAACAAAAATGCAGATTGTTTTTTTATGCCACTATATCTATCAACATAAAAAAACATTTTGTTCTCGTGCTGTTTAAGTTTCACATTTTGTTTCTTAGTCCAATGAATACATTTGTTGCGTTCTTCTTAGAAATCCATATCTACCCATGGATTTCCGGATATTGCAGGATCCAACGGCATGCCGGGAATGCCTGGCATTCCGGGACCACAAGGACCGCAGGGAAGAGATGGAGTTAAAGGACAGCCTGGTGACGAGGGATCGCAAGGAATGCTCGGACAAAAGGGAAAGAAAGGAAATGAAGGGCCTCATGGAAAGAGCGGACGGCCAGGAATGATGGAAATAAAAGGAGCGCGTGGAACTGTGGGAGATCAAGGAATAAAAGGCGATAAGGGAGAGAAAGGAGAAAGCGTGACAAGTCCTTCTAGTGCAGTGTCACAAACCAACTGGAAACAATGTGTGTGGA